GTATGCAAAATATAAATTATATAATAATAATAATAATAATAATAATAATAATAATAATAATAATAATAATAATAATAATAATAATAATATTTTATTCACATAATAATTATTTTACATATTTACATGAAAAAGTAAAGTTAGTTGGGCCTTATAATGAAAAGTTAACTAAAATGTAAGCCTTAAAGTGAGAATAACTTAAAATAAAAGCCTTCTATTGAAAAAGTAAAAAATTCAGGCCTTATATTAATATAATTACTAAAAGTTAGGCCTTCTAGTAGAATTTCCCCTTTAATAATATTTATATTTTTTCCCTTAATGTTATGATTTTTATTATTGTTATATTTTTTTGTTATTTTCTTTATCTCTCTTATAACTTTCGCAAATACACGGGTTAAAACTAGGGAAATTTTTACTTGTACTTACAGATTTTTAAGTAATTGCGAAATTACCATCCAAACAAAAAAATTTGTTTATATACCTAATATATAAAAAGTATTTATAAACATGCCTAAAAAAAATGTTACGTGGATGCTGAACAGTTACGTCGATGCTGAACAGCTTCCACAATTTTAGGGCCACAATATCAGTTTTTCAAATATGGAAAAGATATTATATTTGAATGTTAACTGCATATTCATCGTTGAAACAACTGAAAAAGATAATGGAAAAGAGGACGGCGATGAGATGGTCTTGAAACACGATCTCCGTTTACCGGAAAAAATAAAAAAACGTGCAGAGGCGTGAAAAAAACGGGGGGATAGAGGAAAAAAAATTGCAGTGGAAAGATTTTTGTAGGTATATTTCGTGATACACGACCTCCATTTTCCGGGAAAATATAAAAAAAAAAAGTGCGGCGGCTTAAAAAAAACACTGGAGCGCGAGAAAAGAATTGCACTGGAAAGATTTGCAGAGGTATATTTTCGTCATATTTTGAGGTAGTTTTTCTGTGAATTCATAAAAGTTGTTAAATTTTTATTTTATTTTATTTTTATACCAGATGGATGCGAATATGATGATGTTCATACATCATGGTGGTGAATGGTTTGTGAATGATTACGTCAATTACCAACTATCTGGTGTTGTGATTCGAAAAGAATGCAAGTACGACGAATTATGTGGTATATTGTGTGCGGAGCTAGGGTTGATACGACAATCAACTTTGCTTGACCTAAAATATAAGTTGAAGGAAGGTAGTCCACTAATGTCGATAAACAGCGACAGCAGCCTTAGTTTCTATGTGTTGTTGGTGTCAAAAGAAGCTGATTACACGAAATATCCGGTGTGCGTTGTGGCGAAATCTCGGAGTACTGTTGAAAATTCGTTTGCTGAAGAAGTGAATACAGGTTCGTTGAATTGCGAATCAAACATTGCTCCACTATGTTATCCGGGGCTTGACAGATATCCTGAAAAATCAGATGGCACCACAAATTTCTTGTCGTTCGCGAGGAACGTGGCTGAAGAGATGGTAGAAGTGGCAGCAGATACCGAAAATATACTGGACATATACCATGGATCTGAATTTCGGTTGCAAGACGAGCATAATTTTGACTCTGGTATTGTTCCTGGTACTTTATTAAAGGATAAGGAAACGTTACAGACGATGCTGACCATGCATGCTATAAAGCATCAGTATCAGTTCAAGGTTGACAAGTCATGCTCCAAACAATATTATGTCAGGTATGACTCCAGCGATTAGTAATCTGTTATATATAATTTAGATTCTGTTATATTTAACTTCTTATGGTATATTTAAGTTATATTCTTTTATATGTAACTTATACTGGTATATCTAAGTTATTCTATGTTATATCTAAGTTGTATTTTGTTTTATTTAACACTTTAAAATATTATGTCAGGTGTGTATCGAGCGATTGTACATGGTTTGTGAAAGCTTCGCGTATGGGACGGTCAAACACTTTTAAGATAAGACACGTGGGGACTGAACACATATGTGGTTTGGATGTGCGAACTAGTAATCAGAGACAAGCAACATCAACCCTTGTTAGTAGTTTCATCAAGACAAAATTCACTAACAATAAAACTGCATATAACCCGGGTGACATCATTGACGACATGCAAAATGTGTTTGGGATAAACTTGACATATCACAAAGCATGGAGGTCGAAGCGCAAAGCTGTTGATGAAGTTCGTGGCAAGGTTGATGAGTCATACAATTATGCACATCAATATCTTAGTAAGGTACGTGCATCAAACCCGGGTAGTATTGTGATGATGCGCACCACATGCGATAAGAATTTCATGTACGTTTTCATGGCGCTCGGTGCATCTGTAAAAGGATGGGTCCATTGTCGGCCAATCGTTATTGTCGATGGGACATTTTTGTCGTCGGTGTATGGAGGAATTTTATTGACAGCCTCTTGCCAAGATGCAAATTCTCATATATTACCACTTGCATTTAGCATTGTTGACTCCGAAAATAACAACTCCTACATCTGGTTTTTCACCAAATTGCAAGAGGTAGTTGGTGATAGGGAGGGTCTTTGCATTGTCTCAGATGGTCACGAAAGCATAAGGATCGCAGTACAAAAGGTAGTGTATATTCTCAATATATTTTTTTTTTTCACAGATATATATCTTCCCAGTAATTGGTATATTTTTGGTAACAGTTGGGTAATTGTTTATGTGAAATATAATATATTCAGCATAGGTGTTTTTTTTTATTTGAAAAATATAATATCTTCTACAGCTAGTAGTATATCTGAAAATGTTATAATTAATTTATATAGGTATTCCCTACCGCGGCGCATTGTCTATGCACGTATCACATCTCAAACAAATTGAAGATGCGTTATAAGACCGAAGCACAGGCAGTGAAGGAGGAGTTTTATGCAGCAGCAAGGGCCTATACATGTGAGGAGTTCGATAGGCATATAGCACAAATAAATAAGTTGAATCCTCATGTAGTACCATATCTAGAAGAAATTGGATTTCACAGGTGGGCAAGGGTTCACTGTCCCAGTAATAGATATTTTACCATGACATCTAACGCTGCCGAGTCAATAAATGCTGCCATACGATCTGTCCGTGATCTACCGATAACACCACTACTAGAGGCACTTCGAGATATGCAACAAAGGTGGAATGTGGCAAATAGAGATGAAGCGAAGGCCACTTTTACTCCTCTAGCAAAGAAGCCACATAGGTGGTTGGAAACGAATTACCAAATGGCAGCAAGATATTCAGTGAGTTGTTATGTATATTTATTATTTTTATTAATGAATTATATCCGGTTATATACTATACATATACTGGAAAGTGTGCCGATTATATATTATGCATATACTAATATGTAGACCACACACACATGCTGCAATCCACCTGGTATGGTTGATTATATACTATATATACAAAGTTTATGCAACAAAAGGCTGCACATATTATGTTTGTATTATTGTACAATTATAATGTCATATAACAAAAATATAATGAAAATATACTAATATATGTAACAGGTACAAAAAGCCAGTGACAAAGTGTATAAGGTGATGGTGTGTGGTAAGGCATTTATAGTAGACATTGAATCCAAGACTTGCACATGCCACCACTTTCAAGTTGACGAGCTACCGTGCCCCCATGCTATACGTGTGATCAAGTCACTCCATCTAGATCCGATCCCATTCTGTTCTGTTTACTACTTAACCTCTTCTATGTTGGCAACTTATGAAGAAGCTGTAATACCAATAGAAGGTAATCAAGCCTTCATATTTGATGCACCGTCTATCCCTAGATTGATAAACCCCCCAAGTGGAAGAGTGAGGCCGGGGAGACCACGCAAACAAAGATTCAAGTCGGGATGGGAGCATAGGTCAAAAAATAGATGCAGCAAATGTCATGAGAAAGGGCACAATGTGAAAACTTGTCGTAATCCAATAATATGAAATCCGTAATGTCATGTACATTATAAACGGTTTTTTAAGTTGTTTGTTGCTTCCTATTATTAATTGTTATTTTTTAATGTAGTTATTTCATCTTTTATAAAAAAGCAAAACTGAACATTGGATATACTGCCCATATAATTTTGGAAAAGTAAACTGAACATTGGATATACTATGCATATACATAACATATACGAAGGATAAAAAAATATATTTCAAAAGATATATTACACATGTACCAAACATATACCAAACATATGCCAAACATGTACCAAAAACATATACCAGAACATATGACAAAAAAAGTACCAAACATACACCAAACATATGCCAAACATGTACCAAAACATATACCAAAAAACAATTTAAAAACGCATACCAACACATATAACAAACATATACCAAACTTATGCTAAACAAAACTAAACAAGAATCAGGTCATCAGAATGCACCAGAAAAAAAAAGATGGAAAAAAAAATATCATAAAGTACAATTAAAAATACTAGAAATATAACAAAAGGGAAAAACCAGAAGGAGAAGAGGATAAAAAAAACAATTAATATGTCCTTCAGAATGCAAGATAGATGTAGCAGAAATACAACTTCAATGTTTTCCCAAAAAAGTCAATCGCATCATCCAGAAAAAAAATCAACCACAAAAATACTTAAAAATGTCTACGATGATTTTCCCACATTCAAAAGACTAAACCTAGCTTCATCGGGGGCACTACCGGGGGATTCATCATCACTTTCGTATCCATTGCTTTGTTTCATTCGGCCATGAGTATAGAGCAAATATGCATATCTCTCCCTAAACGAAGTGACTTCAAACTTCTCCTTGGTGATCTCATGACCCGAAATGAAATGTTCGGCATAGGATGCAACGAATACCCCACAGTCACTGTCGGCAATATAACAAAATATAAACAACAAGAAATTAATAATAATAATAATATCAGTAGTAGTGATGGTATGTAGTAAAGAATGATACAGGCAATTTTAAAATTCAAATTCAGATTAGATACAAAATATGGTACCTGTTATGTTGCTGTGGGAGATTGTCAACCATAACCACCTCAATATTGCCTTCGCCGGACACTCCATTCCTCGAAAGATTCGCCAAACCAAGGAAAATGGGAAGAATTTCGACATAAGCCTTCACATTGTCCATAACAAGGTCATCGCAGTCGTTTGTGCGAATTGAATTGTAGATATGAAGTTTCATGTCAACAAGAGATAATCGTCCCAAAATCCAATGACCCACACCGTTAATTTCCAAATGCATCGGGAACATGACATGATCGACCTTGGCCCAAGGAACACCACATATAATCTTGAATCCCAGTATGTAGTCAATTATCATATCGTCGACATTGCATAAAGATTTGTTACGAGACTGAGACACAAACAATGCGTACAACGACTTAATGTGTTGGTCAAACAACACATCAGTCGTTGTATACCTGACTGGTGCATATTTGGCATAAAATCCAATTTTCCTCAAGTAGTAGAATAAGACGTCTATGTGCTGGAGAAAATTATATAAAACAAAATTCAAGCATAAGCAGCAAAATATGGATGAAACTTTAATAAAATAAATATACTATAATATAACAACAAACAAACTTTCTAAATTGTATTAGAAAAAAATATATATATGACAAGTAAAATATAATATAACTGTTGAACAAAAAAATGCTACTTACACTGCAGTCAAGGAAGCAGCCTATCTCAAATAAGTTGTAAAACCAGTTCTTATCCGTCACCGAAACAACGTTAAATTCAAAAGGAGTAGGCAAGGTTTTGCTCCTGACCTTGTAGTAATTCAAACTGAAAAAGGAATGATAGTTTTTAAGTTATATGTATGACATATTTACAGTAGATTACATTAATATTTTTAGTATATTTGATGTATATTAAAATTATTATATAACTAGTAAAATAATAAGTAGTACCCGTTTCCGACTTTGCGAGGAGCCGACATGAGCAAACCCTCACAAATCCAGTCTCTGAATTCTTTCATGTCCACTTCCCCAGAAACATTTATGCGAAACCCGACGTCGAATGGGCAAGACTTCTGTAGTCTTATTCGTTTACTGGTGGAAATTTTGGTCTCCAATTTTGTCCTCGGCTTCTTGGTTCGCCTCACTTTCTCTTTCTTTGGACTGTGTACAACTAAAGGAAGTTGTTGTTGTTCCTTGATTGGTTGTGGGTTCTCTCCTTTTACCATCTCATTCTTCTCGACAGTCTGAAATATATTGACAAAAATGGTAAAAAAAAAAAAAAAAAATTATTATTAAACAAACAATTGATAGAATATATTACAATAATACAAAATTGAAGTGGTAAGACTGACATTAATGACCTTTGCTGGGATATTTTTCTTCGATGGCGGCGTTGGTGGTAGACCAGCAGTTATTGCCTCAAACGACGGCTGAGATCTATTCAATGCATAACCGAAAATGGGGTGTGGCTCATAACTGAAACCTCTCTGCATGTATGTATGTAATATAAACAAGAAATTGAAATAATTCAAATGTATATAAAGCCCACATTTGTAATACTGTATATATATATATATATATATATATATATATATATATAACTAACATATACACTTGAATGCAAGATGTGTAGTTACCGGTTCTTTGCCCTTTGGTACTTCAATTTCATTTAATTTTTGCTGGACAGTCTTGTCAACCTCCTCAATGAACTGGGTGTCGATCAGGAGGAAATTGTCGTCGTCGTCGA